CCCGCCGCCCCTCAGCTCGCAGGTGGTGCTAGAAGCTGGGCGCCAGCAGGGAACTAGCGGCTTCGTCCAGCCAGCCCGGTCTCCGGACACTTCAAGACGGCGCAGGCGCATTGGTCTCTGAATAGAGCAATTCTCCCTGGGTCCTAATGCAGAAGAACACACACACACACACACACACACACACACACTGAGCTGCGCACACGCTGAGCTACACACACACACTGAGCTGCAAACCCATTGAAATAGCAACTGTGTGCGTGTGTGTGTGTGTGTGTGTGTGTGAGAGAGAGAGAGACAAAACCAGCAGCCTCCAGAAACCAGCGGTGCAAGATCCCGCTGCACAATCCCTGTGTCCATGTCCCCCTGCTCTGGTCCGGGCGCTCAGTAAAGGTCTACTAGGATCACGTTAATTCAGCGGCTTCTAGTTCTCTCCCTCTCTCTGGGAACCGGAGCTGAACAACTTCAGGACGGCTGCTGCAGTGGCGGACTGTCTGACATTTTTAGTCTCCAAGAAGCTGGTCCCAGGCAAATCCTGGGGGAGGGTTTATTGCTTATTTGTTTGCTTCTGGTTTTGACTGGGGACACTGAAGTGGAAACCTTTCCATCTGCCAGGTGAAATGCAGAGGGAAAAGGTCATATCGAGCCTCCTTCAATATAATGAACGGACTGAATCACCCAGGGAGTGGGGGGAGTGATGTAAAAATCAGAAAATTGCCTCCCTGTAGAGTTTGCTGTCGGCAGCAAAATCTGACATTGGCTGCGTATCATTTTATGCTCTCTCTCAAAGGGGGCTCCTTTTAATTCTGTGGCACAGGTATAGCAGTTTGTGCTGGAAAAGTGGGATTGCTTCCCCTCACCTTGACTCATGTCTTGATGCTGAAGTAACAATTTCTGACATATGAAGGTGACTGTGGCAGAAAAATACTTCCTCTTGCTTTCCTCCTTTCCTGACAGCATCTTCTGAGGGCAGAAAGATGCCCTCTGCAGAAATGGCTCCCTGTCCTGCCCTGTGCTTATTGGCTAGTGCAGGGGTTCCCAAACTTTTTGACACGGGGACCAATAAATCCATTCACAAGCTTTTGGAGGTCTGGTAACATTCATTTGCATATTTGCATATTCATTAAGCAAATGATGAATATTCAAATAAGTTGTTTCTGGTCCTCCCAAAGCCCCCATTGCCAGCGTTAGCAAAGCTTTTGATACAGTTATCCACAATATTCTTGCCAGCAAGTTAAGGGAATATGGATTGGATAAATGGACTGTAAGATGGATAGAAAGCTGGCTAGATCAGGGTTTCCCAAACTTTTTACTTTAGTTGGAACCCGTTTTTTTTCTAGTACTGTTTTTTGCAGCCCAAAAATATAAACGCATATACAAAAAGAATGAAAAAATGAATACATTTTCAGTGTTTCACCCGGCTGCATTCTCCACCCAGCCTGGGCCAGAGCTTGGAGGATCTGGCGCCTCATGGGCACTCCAGGAGGTGGGAGCAGGAGCAGATTGGGGTAGGGTATCTGGCTAGGAGGAAGGGTGCAAGGAAGGGTAGGGTTGCCAGGTGTCCAGTTTTGTACAGGACAGTCTGGTATTTGAGGGTTTTGTCCGGGAAACAAATTGAGAAATTAACAGATATAAAATGTCTGGTATTTTCTAATTAGGTAAGTTTTATTATAATTAGGTGTATCAGTCCTTAGCTGGGAACTGCCTGGCTGGTAGATGTGCTCACGCTGCCTGAGTGTGTCTACCTGCCAGGAAGTTTGCAACTACTCTAGGGAAGGTATGTGGGGGGCAGAGGGGAAAAATGGAATCCCCAGCCAGACTCACTCATCTGCCAGGGTCTGTAGGGTCTGCATGTGCCTGGGTCAGACCCGCTTCCCTCCCCCTTCTCTTCCCAATTTCCCCAGTCCAGCCCTGCTGTCCCCGTTTAGCCCTGCTTCTGGCGGCCTGTTCCCCCCACCTCCACCAATCTCCCCTGACCAGCCCCGCTGCCCCCGTCCATCCCTGCTTCCGGCATCTGGTTCTCCGGTCCTCTTCCTCCTGATCGCCCCCATCCAGCCCCCCACCCCTCATCCAGCCCTGGTTCCACCGCCTGCCCTCCCCGATTTCTGCTGGATAGCCCCGCTGCCTCCAACCCTGCTTCCACCGCCCACCCGGATCTCCGCGGGACAGCCCTGCTGCCTCCAACCCTGCTTCTGCTGTCCCCCTGCTCGGATCTCTGCTGCACAGGCCCGCTACCCCCAACTCTGCTTCCGCCACCCACCCACCCGCCTGCCCTGATCTCTGCGGGACAGCCCTGCTACCCTCAACCCTGATTCCCCCCTCCCCTGCCACCTCCTCCCAGCCTGCTCTGCTCTGCTCTGCTCTGCGCTGCTCCCCTTCCAGCAGCCACACTGAGGCCCGGTATTTTCTTCCCATGGCCCAGTACTGGGCCATGGCCCATAATTTGGGAAATGCTGGTCTAGAGAGGAGCAATTATTGACCAGTGTCCGTCATTGATCTGGGACTCAGGCAACAATTCTGAAGCAAAAGAACTTTTATCCTCTTAGTTTTCATTATGGTAAAAATGTCTATTTTCTTTAAACCAAATCAGTTTGGTAAAGGTGTTTGGCGAAAAGCAATATGGTTCCTAAACACCTGTTTGTTCTTTCTCTCTCTAGTTCTGTCCCACTTCAAACACTGGGTTGCTCTAAAAAAAAAGTTTTAAAGTCGGTTTAAATTGCTATGTGACAGCTGCTATCATCTATAAAGACAAAGCACGCACAGCAAGAAAATAAAACTAAGGAACTCATTAACCTTACATTGCCCATGTAATAAACATAAATACTCTGGGTCTGTTTTTTCCCATTATCTTGAACCTTTGTGCAATTATTTACCACTGTTGAAAATTCAAGGGAAATGGGTACAAAATACTAACATTCCAGTTTGCTGTTGATTAGGCATCCAAATGTTATATAAGTTAGTAACTGCTCAGCATCATTGTCGGGGACCCCTCCCTCGACTGGGGTTGCCACCCTCTTCCGGGGCATCATCCAACCCTCTTGGGCCTTGGCCTGAAGCATGAGGGGTTGCCACCCTCTTCCGGGGCATCATCCAACCCGCTTGGGCCTCGGCCTGAAGCATGAGGCCCCTTTTTAGGGGAAATATGGCCCACTGGCCTAGTCCGAAAAGTTCACTGCCCCTGCAGTAGGGGAAATACGGCCTCACGGCCTAGTCCTCAACACGCAGGCCCAGAGGCCTAGTCCCAAAGTTCCTTATCCCAGCCCCCACTCGCCGGGGTTCTGGGCAGGAGGGGTAGGAGGGCAGGGCCCAAGTAGTGGCGGGTGGCTCCCACCACTGGCTCGGCGGGGGCGCCTCCCCGCAACGCCCCGAGCCCTCAGGGGCTTTTACAGCTCCCTGCTCTGGGTCACTTCCCACCCCCAGCCCACCGCGGTCCCACCTGTTGGCATTGGTCAGATGGCTGTACTGGTACTTCCCCTGGCCACATCGGGGTTGGCAGAGTCCGGTCCGGTGTCTGCATCCCAGGGGATCGGTCGGCGGCTCCGGCGTTGGGGCCGAGCCCGGCTGGGGCCTGGCAGCGGCATGTTCAGCAGTCCTGGCGACTCCCTCTCTGGCAGTTGAGTGCTAGCTCCTGCTCGGGCCGTGGTCTGTCCCTTTTGAGCAGGCCAGCAGCCTATTATATCTCTGCTCCCCTCGGAGCATGACCAGTAGGGCTGTGTGGGTGGGGCCCTCTCCGCCCCCGGCCCCAGGTGGTTTCCCTGGGCTTGAGTGTGGGGCGGGGCCGCCAGGTCACAATCATGTAATGGTTTCTCAG